ACGAGTGCAATTCCTACAGTGGCACCACCACCATGCTATGTTGTATAGTGAAGCTGGAAGAACCCAAGAAGAGGATCTGAAAACACTGGTCTCCACTTGGGTGAATGAATAAAGAAATGGACCAGACTTAACTTTATCAGAAATCGTGTTTATTAGAAGTGAATGCTCTGGGCCATCTACAGAGAACCAAGGAATTGTCTGCCCTACCAGAACACTGTAAAGGACTGCTGAACTTAATGAGGGACCCACCAGCCAATATATTCCTATTAGATTTATTTGGAGCTTAGTCAATGTTATGGGCACAAAGCTGCATACATTTTCCATGATCTGCTCCAGTGTTGTCTTCTTCTGCAAGTTCTGATACTTCTAATGTGTAACTTTGTAGAACACAGTATGTACACACACAGGCAGAGACCTGTGCTCAAGACTACTGTAGGGTTCATATGTAACTAAAGTCAATGTCTTTTAACAAAGGGGAAGTATTCAGTAGTTTTTATTTGGAATAAAAAAAACATTACATACACTGTGCAAACACACATAAAATTGTACACATATAGCTCTGAACATAAGGAAGGAGAAATATATGTCACACCACCCTTCACCCAAAAAAAGATACAGCCATTTTTTTTTTGAGATAGAGCTTTAGGAAGAAGCATCAACAGAGTCTGGCACAATAGGCATCATCTCAGCCAATGCACACACACACACACACACACACACACACACACACACACACACAAAGCATCCTCTTTGAACATTTTGTCCTTCATGTCCTTCATTCAACCAGTCAAGGGTAAGAGGTGTAAAACATCACTCAACAGCAAGAAAAACCACATGGTGGAGGTTTAGATGCAGTTTGCCCTTTCAGGGGAAGATAGCTGGCCTCTCTTAAAGGCACCCAGACACACTTCTAGAGAAAGAACTGAGCCACCCTATTCATGGTGTGTGGTGTGTCAATTTCATCAGTTTCAGCAGAAACTAAAGACACCTGGGAAAAGGGAACTTCAGTTGAAGGACTGCCTACATCGACTGGCTTGTGTGCATGCCTGTGAGGTATTTTCTTGATGTGGAAGGGCCAAGCCCAATGTGGGTTGTTCCACTCATGGACAGATAATAATAGTCTTGGGTTGTATAAGAAGCAGGTCATTACTCCTAGCCCATGCAAAATATGGTTTATTGGTTAAAGATTATAAGTTATTTTATGTACAGTCTATTATAATATTTAATTAAGAAAACACTATCATATAGGAAGAAATATCTTTTTCATAACTCATGACTTTTATGGTCAGTAACTGCACTAAATAAGAAAGAAGGCTAATGCTGATCAAGCCATAGGGAGCAAGTCAGTAAGTAGCATTCCTCCTTGTCTCTGCTTCAGTTCCTGCCCTGCGGTTCCTGCTTTGAGTTCCTGCACTGGCTTTTCTCACAATGATGGATTGTGTAATGTGGAAGTGTATCTTCACTCACTCACACATGTATGTTTATGTGTGTGTGTTGTCTCACTGCTAGATGTGAAAAGTGTCACTGAATACCTTCAGATGGAACAGATTTTTAGTTTGTCTTTTGCCACAATGTTCTCTATACAGAAGCACTCATGCCCCCCCCCATCTTTACACTGGATCTAGACGATATTAGAATTTTCCATCCCTGGCAGAGTCAATCATTTGCCAAGGTGGTTGGGTATCAAGAACACATCATCTGTGACGCAAGGAAGCCAATTATCTTGTCTTTTTCTTGATCCCTAACTCCTCACAAATTCATTTCCTCATACTAATGACTCTTGTCAGTGAGCAGAAAACTGGGTAGAGTAAACAGAGAGCACACAGAGAGATCGTTGGCATTCTTATGTCCCTTTTCTTCCCCTGATCTCTCGGTGATAACACCACATCCTAGTTTTGTTTCTGTTGCTGAGATAAATCCACAGTTATGAAGTACCAATGAAAATAATTTTATGGTTGGGGGTCACCACAACATGAGGGATTATATTAAAGGGTTGTAGCGTTAGGAAGGTTGAGAACCAGTGCTCTAAGACAGCAATCAATATTGGAAACAACCTTCATATACATGATAGCTAGAATGCATTGGAAGAGGATGAGGGCTCTGGTATCAGAGAAATAAAACAGAGCGATCCGTCTTCTCTTGCTCCAGGTTTCCTCACCAAGACTGAAGGGCATCATCACATAAACAGAACTCATTTTCTGCTGTCTTTAAATCCAGCACACAACCCTTAACAGAGCTCTGTGCGGAAGGCTTGCTCTTCCAAACTGGGGTCTCTAAAATCACCCAAGAGAAGGTCAGTCTCTGCAATCCAAGCATCATCCTCACCATAAAAAGTCAAAGGCAATGTCAGCAGGCACCCAGATGAACTATGTATTACAAAGATCATCATTCCTAGCCCACTTAAAATACGGTTTATTGGTTAAAAGTTATAAGACATTTTACATACTCTCAAGTATAATATTTAATTAAGAAAATACCAGCATATAGAATAATGTGTTGTTTTTATTTCCTTTAAGGTCAGGACCTACACTGAATATTCCCAGATTATTTTTCTTAATCAACAGGCTATCTCTAATGTATACAACTTTACAGCTAGAAATATATTACTGAGGCACGTTTGGCACTTCTTGATTTTAAGTTAGGTTTGAACAACCAATTAAATCCCTCAGTCTATGTTATGCAATGGAGGCACAGGCAATAAAAGCCTTGACATTGGTTATAGTCTCGTAATGCAATTTAGCCCTTCTAGTAATGGCTGCGCAAATAATAAGCCACGGGAAAACCATTTTATACGGTATACAATTACCCACCACCACGGAAGTAATTGTTATTATTGTCCTGCTTATTGAACTACAATAAGCACTCCTGAGTTGCTGAGATGGTTCAAGGCCACTGTGGAAACTCCCATCCTCACAGACTCATCTGGTGACTATAATTAGCAAGGTTAAGAATGGCACTTTCAGATGGACATTAGACAAGAAATTATCCCCAGAAGGTTCGTAAGTTTCAGACTTCAAATGGGAACCACTTATGTCTCCTGTGATGTCCACTTCCTGTCTTCACAAGGCCACTTGTGACCCAGGCAAAGTCAGTGGCTCTAAGACAACTCACCAGCGGATGAGAAAATTCCATGACCCCAACAAGGTCAGTTTTTTGGTTTTTGGTTTTTGTTTTTTTTTTTTTTCCCCTAAAGGGCATCCACTTTCTGCCGGTGTTCTGGTAGTGCTGGTTCTAGCTCGGGGAGTTTGGTCAAACGCTTGCATTCCACTGGGTTTTGACTTTTGGTTTCCGAAACTGCCCCCACCATCTTGAAAGAGGTCAGCGGCTCTTTGGATGGCTCGCTGGCCCCATCTGTCAGTGTCTCACCAGGTTTCTAGTCAACCTTGGCTTCTCTATCATCAAGTATAAGGAATGCCATGGAGTAAAAGAGAGACCAACTTATTTTTTAACATGGGTCCCACCTGACCCTGATGGCCAGTAATCCATCACTGGGCCTCACCAAGCCCAGAATCATCCCAAAGGCTCTGGATTCACAGGAAGCCAAGATGCCTACTGGCCTGTCTTCCACTCTCACCCCAGTCAGCAAATCTACCATCTGGGAAGCTTGGGCTTCTCGGAGAGCCCAGGGACCAAGCTAACAGTGGATCACCACTGCAGTCTCTTACCCAAAAAGTTAACCCAACCTGTTCTAGAACTGTATGGAAATTTAGACGACAGCCTGAAGAAAGACAACCACTGTGAAGGATTCAACCGGAGGGTGGGGTGGGAGGCCCAAAGTGATCCTTAACGCTGGTTCCTTTCAGTATCTACAGGCCTCCTGGTAGAGGGTGGCCAGTCCCTTTGGCATCTTTATTCAGAACCTTCTCTTGAGAAGGAACACCTTCTAAGGGCATCCTCCCTTGGGATTGGTGGTGGATTCTTGTTTGTCCAATGGTCCAAATCCCAGGCAAGAACAGTTGTGGTCCCAAAGCTAGCTAAGCCCTCTCTCCCCCCAGAGACCATGGGTATTTCTCTATTGTTCAGAAGATGACAGATGGATGTCTTCTTTCAACATTTTGAACCGATTTCAAAATCTCCAGTGCTCACTACTACCTGTGTGGCCTTGGAGACAAGTATTAGCCCCTGAGTGTGCTAGCGAGTGCTGGGAACAGGATTCACACCCATGTCCCCTGACAAGTCTGACCACCCACATACAACTTCCACGTTCCACCTGGGGGGTCCCTCTGCAGCTCCCCTTTCATACTGAGAAGCATGACCACAGCAGAGGCCGCCCCCAAGACCCTGCAAGGAGAGCTCCAGAGCCCGGAGAAAGGGGGCACTAGGCAGCAGGTGGGGGGAGGGGGCAGGCACTCAGTGGTCCCTGTGGAGGCAAGAGTAGTGTCCCTTGAGCACCCCCCCCCCACTACGCCCCAGCACTAGTCTCCTTTACATTCCCCTCCCCTGGTGCCTGGCTCCCCTGCAATCACCCACCTTCTCCTCCCCACCCAGTTCAGACCCTCGCACCCTCAAGGGGCTCGGCACCCCTAAATTGGGCCGTCCGCAACGAGGCCCCCCGCATTCCCTCGCACGTCCGGCGGCGACTTTTTTTTCCTTTTTTTTTTTTCTTTCTTTTTTTACCTGTACTTTTCTGCACACTTGGGGCGGCTCGTCGAGGCTGAGCAAGCACCTCCCCGGGACCGCTACCTTCCCTCCCTCCGCCCCGGCTCCGCCCGGCTTCCTCCTTCCCCTCTCCAAGGCCGCAAAGTAGATGGAGTAAGAGAGTGTGTGCGCGAGAGAAAGAGAAAGAGGGAGCGGGCGCCGCGGGAGGCGGCGGCGGGAGGCGCGCCGGGCCCCCGCCACCCTCTGGTCCCCGCCGCCACCCTCGGGTCCGCCGCCACCCTCGGGTCCCCCCGCCGCCCTCCGTTCCCCGGCGCCGCCACCCGAGGGCTCAGGACTCCGCTCGCACCCGGCTCGGCCCGGCCCGGTTCCCCGGCGCCGCCCGCGCCCCGGCGTCCCCGTACCTCGTAAAGGTCCCCAGAAGCCATGCCAGGCTGCGGAACTTGGCTCGCCGGGTGTGCGCGTCTTGCTCGCTCGCGCGCTCCCGTGCGTGTGCGCGCGGGGGGCCCGGACTACGCGCGCGCGTGAGCGCGTGTGTGCGTGCGTGTGTGTATGTGTATGTGCGCGCGCGCGCGCGTGTCTGTGTCTATGTGTCTGTGTGTGTGTATGTGTGCGCGCGAGTGTGTGCGGCGTGTTGAGTAAACTGTGTTTTTGCAGAATGACAGGCTTGGGGGCCGCCTGTGCGCAGAATCGGAGCGGGCGGCGACGGGGCTGGCGTAACCGGCGGCGGCCGCGGCGATTGCAGCGACACACGAGCGCGGGCAGCGGCGACCGACGGCTGCGCAGCGCGCCCCAAGCCTCGGACGCGGTCCCCCGAGCGCCCGGGCCCCCCGCGTCCCAAGGCCGGTGACTGCAGCGCTCGGCTCGCCCCGGCGCCGCCTGCAGGAAGACGCCCCGCGCCCGCCGCCCGCCCTGACGCTGAAGCCACTGGGCGAGTCCCCGCCTCCCCGGAGCCCGGCCCGGCCCCCGGGGCGGAGGGGGCGGCGGCCACCGCCGGCCGAGCCCGGGGACCGTTCCCGAGCCGGACCGCGCGCGCGCGCGGCCGCGAGGGCCCCCAAAGTGCCCGGCCAGGTGCCCAACACGCATGACCTGGCCGGGCTGCGAAGAGGAGGCTTGGAGGCAGATCTTTACCTGCACGTCGCAGGGAAGGGAGCCCCTCTTCGGTCCCACTCCTTGCTCCAGAAGTACCCGACTCTTCTCTTTCCCGGGGAGGAGACTGGACAGGGTCTTAGGAGACCTGGCCCCTCAGAACTAAAGGGGCCCTTGTTTCCAGTATGAGTTTTTCGAGAAGAGGAGAGGTGAAGTGCCCCATTCACAGGCTCCATGGAGAGCCAGGTACATAGTGGCTTTTCCCACCAAGCGTGGCCTTTCCTCTTCAGCCCTCAGCCCCCACTATCCAGTCGCTCATCAGTTAATCAACAAACATTTCCCAAAGTCCATCCAACTGCAAGTGTCTATGGCCACCAGTGAGACCCTGCTCGCCATGGACTTTGAATCCCAGAGGCAAAAGAAGAGGTGACACGGGAAAAAGAGCTGCCACTAGTGCCGGGGTATAGAGAGAGCCAAAAAGAGGGACACGGGAAGTTATCTCTTTTTTTGAAAACATCCTTTATATATATGGCCACCCTTGAGTTGAAAGGCTTCTCCTTATGTACTAACACAACTATCTCAGAACCTGGAGAGAGTGTTCTGAAATTGGAGGGGGGGACACAAGGTCTTCACACAAGCTCCAAAGTCCACCTTGTCTTTTTCTGACCCAGATACCTGATGGCTCTAAGAAGCTATATCCTCCTTAAGTCATTTGCTGTAGGCAGCACGGTGGGAAGATTATCTGCTGCCCTTTCTAAATGGGGTGCCCATGTACCAGCACCATGGAAGATCATGTACCTGTGGCGTTGTGGCCCGTCCATCCCCAGGGAACTCGGGAAAGCTGAGTTATGTCTTCATCTGAACCCTGGCCTCTCCTGGAGAGGGGCATGACAAGGGCTTGTCTGAGATCACAAACTTCTATCACAGTCGCTGGTGGAGAGTGACCCAGAACCGTTGCTTGTCGGAGTCTGTCAAAACAGCAAATTGTGCTCCGATTGCAAGTGGAAATTCGGTATTAAAGTAGTGAGGAGAAAATGGTGAAGGCGGGGGAATAAATACAAACATACAGCTGGTTAGAAACTGCGGGAATTGGCGGAGCCCTTAGGTTCCTTCCCTCTCCATAACTGGTACTACCCCAATGGCCACTGTTTTAAATAACACAATTAATAATAACCACCTCTCAGTCGATGGGTAGCAAAACAAACCTGAATGAGCCTCCACTGTCGGGTAAAAATAGGTATTGCCACCATCATCTGAGAATGTCATTTGGAAAGGGGCAGCAAGAAAGAAACTGCATTTGACAGTCAGTTAAGTCAGACTCATGGACACAATCAGGAGTCATACCCACAACCAGAGTGTTACGCTCAGATTCTCCTTGGGAATGAGGTTTGGGAATCCCTCGTTTAGAGTGGCATTCGGGGTTTAAGGAAGTAGACACCCAGTGAGCAGCAGCATGCTCGGAGTATTTTATAGAGATAAGGACAAGAAGCTTGAGAACTCACAGAGGAGGGGGCTGGGCTTCCATTCGGGGAAGGAGGTAAGGCAGATGGCAGGCAGTTCTACACTAGGAGAAATAGAAGACTCAACGGTGACCTGGATGGTGAATGCCAGTTAGCTCAGGGAGGGTCTTAAACATGAAGCCAAGGAGTCTGCCATGTAACAGGACAAGGGACCAAAACCAAGTTGCATCAGTCATAAGTATGTGACAATGAGAGAAAACTCGTAGACAAGAACTATGGAAGACCCACCAGGTGATGGAGGTGAGAGACAGTTATGGTGGTCCTCCCTGACAGCAATAAAATGAAGATGTAAAACTGGACTTGCTGGATGCCCCCAAGAAGAAGTCACCTAACTTACATGAGGGCTGCTCCACCTACCTTCCACCAAGCATTTGATCCAGATCAACAGGACCGAGTGACTAACAGGATGTGTGAGAATCAAGAACTGGGGGAGGGGTGAGCAGCTAAGGAAAGAAAGGATACACAGATGACTAAGGTTTGGAACTGTGGCTGAACCACCCACCCATCGTTACACGATTTTATTTCGGGTTTATTTCCCCAGACCACGCCGGCTTCCAGGAAAGACAGATGCTTCCTGGGCTTGAAAGTGGAAGGGTCCTCACCCTTTGGACGGCGCTCTTCCTAATTCTTCAGACGACACGTGGAAAGTGGTGGAGTGCCACCCGCTCACACAAACTAGGGTAGATCCTTCCAACTAGCCGTACATTGCTCAAGGACGAGCGGCAGGAAACTCGAGCAAACCCCACTTACAGGAAGAGCCTCCTGACTTGACTCTCAGGCAGATTCAGAGAGGATGGAGTCACTTTCAAGACCGGCTGGCATCAAGGCCACAAGGGATAGGAGGTGGCTTCTACCGCTCTCCGCTACTTTCTGCAGGCTGCTTTTCACTTGTTGAAAATGAGCTTTCTGCTTGCTACCTGGCAACTCCCCTCACCTCATTGGGTATTTATAAACTCCAAGGAATGTCTCTGATTGGCTCTTAACCCAATTCACAGTTGGGGCCCAGCCACTGACGTTGATTATAGACAGCACACTATGATTGGCCAGACATAAGTCACAAGACCACCTGGGAGGTAGAGGGATAGGATGATTGGCAGTTCAATCAAAATAACATGATTGAGAATGGGGATGAGTGCAAAGAAATGGCAGAGATACAATGGGAAGATGGATGGAGAGACTGATACTCACTGTGTGCTGGAACAAATCTGGGACTAAATGGGAAGTTGAAAGAGAAGGAGGTAGCTACCTAGCATGACCTTACAATGAAGCTAAATCAGTCAGTTTACTAACCAAGGCAGAATTAGCCCCACTGCCCTGACAGAGGCAACACTGTCTTTCTAATGGGAGATGCCGTGTTGCCTTCTGTTACTGTACAGTGGTTGAGCCTGGGAACTCTTCTGCGCACTGGCTTTCTGACTCTTGGATCATCACTGTTCACTAGGGTTCTGAAGCAAGCTCATCATCCCTGTGTCCATATCTAGGTGCACCCTGTAGGTAAGTGTATTCCAGTGTACTAAATAATCCCCAACTCTAATGGGTGCAACACGAGATGCATCTGTGAATTCAGTTTTGTGGCATGAACTCTGGCAGCCTGTTTCGTGGTCCTGGCTCAGATCTGGGAGATGCCTGTCAAAAAGTTTGGTAGTTCTGCCATCACGAAGGCCTGAATGGGGCTGGAGCACCTGCCTCTAAGATGCTCTCCCCCATGGCTGCTGGCAGGAAGCTGAAACTTTCGGACCACAGGCCCCTCCCTATGGCTGCTTGACATCATTCTCATCTTTGTCCCTGTGATCATTTGTGTTAATTGTCAACTTGATAGAATCTGGAGTCACCTGGAAGATGGGCCTCTGGATGTGTCTATGGGGAATGAGCTTTACTGTGTTCATAAATGTGGAAAGACCCAGTTTAATCATGGGCAGACCCATTCCCTAGGCAAGGTTTTCTGGAATGTATAAAATGTTGAGAGAGCTAAGCACTAACATTCACACATCCATTTGTCTCTTCTGATTAGGAACACAATAACCACCTGCTTCGAGCTCCTGCTGCCTTAACGTCCCGTCCATGAGGGACTGTTCCTTGAACTGGGAGATAAAGTAAGCCTCCTTCCCCTTAACGTGATGTTGTTGAACTATTTTATCACAGCAACCAGAGAAGTTAACAAAGACGGTCCCAAATCCAGAACAACATTCAGAGCATGGGCGAGTAACCCACCCGACATCCCTGACAACGTTAGGAAGCCTACCTGACTTGAAGCTACTGAAATGACTGGCCTGGGCTGACTGAGCAACTGTCCACACCATCAGAGATATGGCCAGCTGTGACCTCAAGAATGAAGAAAGTAAGAGTCAGGCTGGCCAATGCTGGAGTCCAGGGAGGAAGACCCAAAGCTTTGAAGTTCTCACCGTGGTCACCAAACACTGCCACTTCCATTGTATATTGCTCTTTGGAACTTGGTCTCCAAGTTAACCCAAACTCAAGAGAAGTAGAGTGGGCTCTGCCTTTTGAAGGGGAACTATCCAAAAACTTGCAGATTTTAAAATCACCACACCCACCTGAAGCTGGCAGCCTACTGATGTGTTTTGTGAACTAAAGGTGCTAGTATTCACAAAGCACCTGCCACGGAGAAGGGCCGGCTAGCAGGGTCTGCTATATTACTGTGACAGCCACTATTAACTAATTTCAAGCTTGAGATATGTCTCAGTAATGTCCCTAAAGGTTCAAGATTCCTTAAAAAAGGGGGTAGTAAATCCAATAAGACCTTCAAGATGAATATTGTTTTCGAGACATAAAGAAACCTTACTACTAATTAAACTTGATTTTTCAGTATTAAGTTTAAAAGGTTTTACCACCACGAAGGTAATAACAATTGAAGTGAATTCAGTCTTATTCCGTACCTATGCTGTGCTAGGCATTATTAATGCTAAACAAAACTCCCTGCTCTTGTGGTGCTTAGCTTAGCAAACAATAAAAACAACAGACAATAACAAAGCAATCAAAATATAAGAAGCCAAAAAGTGTGGCTAAGGTGCTCTTATTTTAAGTAGGGATGAGAACTAGGAGACCAATGAGGCTGGGTAAAGAAGAAGAAAGGAGCCAAGATGGTTTTTGCTTTTGTTTTTGAGATTTGACCTCGAAAGGAGCCAAGATGGGTATGCAGGGACAAGATGTCACCCGTCTTCATACGGTGCATGGATAAGACCGCACTAAGAGGGTGGCCTGTGAGCAGAAGGCCAAACCATGTGGAGAGAAGAAACGGATCAAATTAAGAAGACTGTCAAAAGGGCAGG